AATATGCTTATAAAATTGACAGGGTGCCTTTTGATTATTATAAATTTTTGATATACAACCAAATGAAAGGTGAAGCGTTGCTTTGGTATCAAGCTTTCATGAATTTTTTCGAGAATTTCAGTTTGTTCCGAGAATATTTCATTGCTCAATTTTGGAGTGAGGAAATACAAAATGAAACTCGAGAGAAACTTCGCAAAAGTAAGTATACCCAGGGATCGTTTGTTCAGCATTTTTTGAGGTGCATGTCCGGTGCGAAACATCTTGATCCTCCATATTCGGAACCTCAACTAATTAAGGTTATTGCTAGGTTATTTCCACCACAAATAGCTAGTGTTTTAATTGGTACTAACAGCCTTTCAGATGCTATCGATAGATTGAGACATGCTGATTCTTATTTTGATGACCAGCCGGAATTCATGAATTCTAATCGCAAACAGTTTTCCAACGATTTTGTGGTTCAATCGACGCCCAGTCGCGAGTATCCAATACAAAATAGGACGGGAAACAAAAATTTCATAAGTAAGAATAACAATTATAAACCAAGAGTGGCATCGATAAATTGTGACGGGGAGGAAATTATTGAAGAATCGGGAAATTCGGGAAACGGACTGGAACCTCGCGAACACTAGGCCCTGGCATCGTGAGGTTAGAAAGTAAGAGGGTAAATTTTTTGGCAGATCAAAGAGAAGATTTACTTACGGAATGTGATTGTGAGATTGGCGGTAAAAAAATTCAGTCACCATTTATTGAAATTGTAATAAAAGGGTTTAGATTAGTTGGACTAGTAGATACGGGCAGCGAAATATGTTGTTTCAATGAAGAAATATGGGGTCAGCTAGAACCGTTTTCGGATGATATTCCAACATTTTCTTGCCCAGGGGTAAAAATTATGGGGGCTTTCAAAACCAAGCATCGTAGGGTAAAACAACAATCTCTGATTACTTTCACTGTACAAGGTCATGAATTTTGTCATGAGTTTTTATATATACCAGATTTGGCAGTTCCTATTATAATTGGGGTGGATTTTTTGCGGTCGGTTCCATCGAGACTGCATTTTGACGAGAATAAGTTATTATTCAAAATGCCAAACACCAATGTTTGGATAGATATTCCCGAAATCAATCCTGGTTGTGAGTTTCAAGAAACGCGCTCTTTCGAAATAAGATCTATAGATATTAAAAAAACTGTTTATCAAAGTGAGTCAGTAGAACAAAACGCGGTTAGTACAAGCGAGGAGATAAAAAATATCATTTCGAGTTGTTCTGTCGAAGAAACTGACAAGATGGTTTTAGCAGAACTTCTGCACGATTTCAGTACAATTTTTTCTGAGGCACCGGGGAGAACAAATACATACTGTCATGTAATTAAACTAACGGAAGATCATGGTTTTTGTTACAAACAATATCCGGTCCCAGAAGCGCATAGGGCGGCTGTGAAAAAAGAATTAGATCGAATGGAAGAACTAGGGGTCATTAAACAAATGGCTACTCCATATATTTCACCCATTATGGCTACAGTGAAAAAAGATAACAAGGTGAGGATATGTCTAGACTCACGATATCTGAATTCCATAATGCAAAAGGAACATGACACTCCTGTACCTATGGATGTGATTTTGCGTCGAGTAAAGAATGCAAGATTCATGTCTACTTTAGACTTAACTAGTGGATATTGGCAAATACCACTTCATCCAGATTCACAAAAATATACTGGATTCAAATTTGATGGCAGGTCATATTGTTTTACCGTGTTGCCATTTGGTTTATCTACCAGCGTGAGTGCTTTTGTTAGATGTTTGAATTCCATTTTAGGGGAAGGTTTCGAAGGATACGTATTGACTTTCGTCGATGATATCTTAATTTTCTCCGCAACTTACCATGAACATCTGGATCATTTGGCAAAAGTATTTCTACGTTTGCAAGAATCTGGTTTTACACTCAATTTGAAAAAATGTAAATTTTTAAGACGCGAAATGCCATTTTTGGGATATATTTTGTCTCCTGAAGGCATTCATCCAGATCCTAGTAGAATTCAAGCGTTGAAAGATTATAAAACTCCAAAGAATGTTAAGGAATTACAAAGTTTCTTAGGTCTTGCAAATTTTGACCGATCGTTTTGCAAAAATTTTTCTAGGATATCAGCACCACTCACTCGTTTGTTAAAGAAGAGTGTCAAATGGAGTTGGACACCGGTTGAGGAATCATCATTCGAAATGGTGAAGGAAAGTTTATGTGAGGCTACATTATTGTACCATCCTCGAGAGGATGTACCGTTTTGCATTGAAACAGACGCGTGTGATACAGCTTTGGGTTGTCATTTGTTTCAAATAATAGATGGAGTTCGGCGACCAATAGCATGGGGATCAAGGCTTTTAGTGGATAGGGAAACAAGATATCATATAAATGAGAAGGAAGCTCTGAGTATAGTATGGGCACTGTCACGTTTTCGAATTTATTTACAAGGTAAAAAGTTCACAATTTTCACTGACAATCATTCGATAACTTTCTTAAAAACGTGTCGGTTATTATCGTCAAGAATTTCCAGATACGCGTTGGCAATTCAGGATTATGATTTTGATATTAAGTACATACCAGGTCCTCGGAATGTAATTGCAGATGCATTGTCTCGTTATACAGCATGTCGTTTTCCTACTCCAAATGACAAGGTGTTCAAAATTTTATCTTTGGGTAAACTGCCAAAAGAAGTTTTGCAAATTATAAAAAACATCGGAGAAAATCAGAGAAATGATGACAAACTCTTCGAAATTATGGGAAACCTTCAGGATAGTGAAAAACTTCAGGGACGTTTTGCTATGATAAACGGGGCGTTATATGTTCGGAACAGTAATGAAGAAAACTATTTGTTATGCATTCCGAAAAGAATGGCAGATAAACTGGTCACGGCATATCATGAAATGTATGGCCATTTCGGTGCGTACAAGACTTGGAGAGCTTTACGTTCAGAACTATGGTGGAATAACATGTTCAAAGACGTTAAAAGGGTGGTGAAGAGATGCGAAATTTGTCAAAAGGCTAAAGTAACAATTTTGCCAAAACCCGAGTTGCAGTCGATTTTGCCAACAAGAAAAAATGAAATAGTAGCATTAGATTTATATGGACCACTACCAGTTAGTCGTGGTGGAGTAGAATATGTTTTGGTACTAATAGATATTTTCACTAAGTATGTAACTTTATATGCTTTGAAGAAAGCAACAACTAGGGCTATACTCAATAGAATAATAAATCATTACATACCAAATATGGGACCGATTCAGAGCGTATTGAGCGACCACGGGACTCAATTCACAGCGAAACGGTGGAAAGAGAGTTTGAATGGTCTGAATATGAAAGTGGTTTTTTCTTCTGTTAGGCATCCACAAAGCAATCCCTCAGAGCGGGTCATGCGGGAGTTAGGTCGTCTAATGAGGACGTATTGTCACGACCAACAGAAGAAATGGGCTGGGGAATTATCGAGCTTTGCGGAATTCATGAATTCAGTTGTTCATGAATCAACAGGTTTTTCACCAGTAGAGTTACAGTTTGGTGAAAAAGTTCGAATTTTGCCAAATGAGGTACAAGGACCTCAGATTACGGAGCAAACAACGGCGCATGAGACAAAATTAGTGCTGGCAAAAGAAACTCTGATGGGTAAGGCCGCGAGACGCAATTTGAGATATCATAATAGGCCATTTCATCCTTTTAATGTAGGGGACTTAGTATTATTGCGGGCAAATAACGTTTCATCAATATTGAGATCAGAAACCAAAAAGTTTTTGTTGTTATTCGAAGGTCCATACCGAGTAAAAAAATGTGTCACACCAGTTACTTACGTGTTACAGTTTTTAGATTCGGACAAAGAACGAGGCATTTTTCATTTGTGTCATTTGAAAAGTTTTCATAAATAAAGTTTTGATTCCATTTGTTTTAAATGCATGGATAAAAACTTGGGGGAGGCAAGTTGTAACAGAATCCAGGAATTCAGGAACATGCTTTAAATGTGATTTGGGGAAACAAAGCCTCGTTGTCAGGTAAACGTATAAATAGAGATATCAATAAGGAAATTTGTGATATCAACGTTTCGAAGATTTGTCTGCGAGATTTTGAATCCCTGGGGGAATATCCCAATTCAGTATTACTGGGTGAGGAAGTGTCCCTGATTTAGGTATGTGGGATTTTCCCATTTTCTGTATGAAGGTATTATGTTTATGTAAAATTTAGAACTCGAACTTATCTTGGAAATAAACTGTTTGGACCTGGATATTCGCATCTGATTGCTCAGAACCTTTACAAGCTTGAACATTTTTTTCCGAGTTATTTTTATAGTGGGATGGATCTCTGATTTTTTCTCTAGACAGTCTTTGAAAAGGTTTGTTGACCTACTTAATCGGTGATTTTAGTTTGATGAATTCCAGTTATATGAACTTCCATCATATATTTCAAGTAATTCCGAAATTTTTTCGCATTCAACGATGCATTATTAGTTTTGTGATCAACCCATAGAAATTATTTTAGTGCTCGGAAATAGAATATTCTTATGTGTTGCTGAAGGACAATGATGAAGTTTTGTAGTCGGTAAAATTCTTGAAAGTAATTTTCATTCAACACTAGGTTCAGAGTTTGAATTATAGATTTAGACGCTGAAAATGTATATTGTCATATTGTGTTCTTGTATTGTAAATAACAATACTTACATTTTGTTAATTTGCACTTAATGTTGTTACATAACAGGTTGTCAATATTTTTAACAAATATGTTGATTAATTTTAAATATGTTTGCCAAACTAATTGATAGGCGAGTTTCTATCAAATACTTATTTTTCGAATAATAATAAAAAACATGCTGAAAATGGAGTTTCATTGAAATAGAATCAACGTTTATAGATTGAACATTTAATTTCCATAGATTAACAACAACAAATCTCAAAAACTAAATAAATTATCAAAAAATGGTTTGGTCCAGAGTATCCATTCGAGTTATTATTCATATTCCAGTTTCTCTCATCAAGCTGCAATAACATCAGTTTGGAAGTTTTTAGTGACTAATTGAAGCAAACTGCCATTTTGTGGCGTGTCCTTGCCTGTCACCCACTTCAAAAATAACCTGAAACAAAATCAGAGATTGCACCAGTGTTGTCTTCTGTGATAAAAACCCATTTGTAGGCTTGTCTGACCGATGTCTCCGACGACACTTAGGCCTAGTGGCCATTGTATTTTACATCCATGCTCTGTTATCAATTTCACCATACACGACTAATCAGCCCCATTAAGCCCCTTAATGAGCATAAGGGCCACTTCAATATGGAAGACCCTTTCGTTCAGGTTCCAATCCTTGTTCTCGTCCCTTGTAGAAAGCTGCTGAACATAAAATGTCGTGAACAGTCACGAAACGAACCACTAGAAGTCCACCGTAGGTGAAATTATATTTCCTAATTTTCAGTTAGTTTATAACATCATTAGGAAATCGTAGTAGAACACTGCATTTCTTTTACTCGATTACTTGGGATTTTTTCTCCTCGCTTCCATAAAATAAAAATATGAGTATTATTTCAAATCAGATGATTTGCCCCAAGATGTCACTGCATTTAACACATTTTTTTATCAGTGAAAAGTACTGAAAAGTACATTGTTTTGAAAAAATAGTTGAGGAGAAAATGACAAAAAAATGACTCCTTGCAGGGAGTTGAACACGATAGCCATCGCCGTGGAAGACAAATGGACAGCCCACTGAGCTATCAAGCCAAGTTTTATGTATGGAGAAGAAATATCGTGAAGATATTTTCCTTCCTCATAATACCTCATAACCTTCCAATATCCTTAGATTTGCCGCAGCACAGCAGCAATAAGCTATTATTTGAACGACTGGCGAGAGACATATATCACAAATGATGAAAACAAACCCAGTCATCCTGCATTCTCTTCTCTGATCATCTCTTCGTCTCAAATGTTTCAATGTGAATTCACATTCGTCGTCACAAATTTATGTATGAAAATATCTCCAGAAAAACCGCTAGAATTCCGACACGTCGCAAATCAAGTTGAAATGTCGCATTCACATACCATGAACACTCTAGATTTAGCGACAAAACCGCTGAGATGGCAACCCTGTCCTCGCCTCCGAAGGAGGCCAAAAGTTTTTCCTCTCCTACGAATGACGGAGGAAGGGGTTCGTCCAGCCCTGTGAAGATGTTTTCCAGAGGCCCCGTTAGCGACACCAAACCTCGGTGCCATTCATCCATCGCCATGGGTTCCCACGGGTTTGATTATTTTGCCAGAGCCTCGTTGATCAGCCCTTGGCCACCTTGACAGATATCAGCAAATCGTCCCATTCTTGCCACAGATATCCGCAAATTGTCACATCTGACACGGAGATAGCAAAGATTGTCCCGAAATGCTTCATACTACTTTTATGGTGACGTTAGACTTGGAGGGGAAGAGGAAAAGAGAAGTTGGCCAAGGACCCAGGCAACCATATGACGAATGTTCACGTCACTGTGACGTCCCTAATTGGTGATTTTTCGTCAGAGACGTCACTATGATGTACTTTCTATGACGTGATTCTCACGTCATCATCTCGACATCGAGTGAACGTCACTAAGAATGGTAAAATGAGACGTCAGTTTCATGACGTTGCAGGAACGTTCTGTCGACGTCATTTCGACATCGGCCCGACGTCACAGTTTGGTGAGTGAATGACGTCAATAAACGTGACTCATTCACGTCATTTATCACGTCATACGACGTCAACTCCTGACGTCACCTTGGTCATTCAACTGACGTGAAAAGACGTCACTGAAACGTCATATATGGTTGCCTGGGGGGAAGGCTGATAGGGTAGTTTGAAGAAGGAAGTTTGGTGAATATCAGGCTAGGGTATGAAACCACTTACTCTGCTATGAATTCCAGTGGAGTCCAAGTTGACGTATCAGCTTTGGGCATCCATTTCCTGTTCATGGGAGTGTCCAGAGTGATAGGAAGGATGGCAACAGCGGAAGCATTTTGAGGTAGCCCGCTGTCCTTAGATGCGAGAGACTTGGTTAGTTGATGAACCGCTGATTTGGCCAAACCATAGCCAATCATACCTTAAAGAAATATTATAATTGGTTTTTACGTGGTTTCCACTCTAGGGGAACTCTATATGACTCAAAAGTTAACATTCAGATATGAGGAGTCAACAGATTATATAAGTAGTTGATGTTGTAGTTGATGAATCGAATGAATCATCAAATCAATGGGAAATTCCGCTGAAATGTTGATTGAAATCCATAAAACTGTTGTTATAAAAAGCGCACTTCCAATTTGCTATGAGAGAGTAGTGGTTTCAAGAATATTAACATGACAATTATTGACACATTTTTAGTATTGCTCTCTGTTTTATTTTGATAGAAAACAAAGAATATTGAAGATATTTGAGATTCTCGAGAAATATTAGAAAGTGTTAATCTATAGAATCGTATTAGCGTCATCTAATTGAAGACCTTGGAACCAGATGGAGATAAGCCACAAAATGTAGATTCGGAGAAATCGCACGTTTTTCCCAATTTTCGAATCGTGAAATACATTCAACTTGTATTTTCCGAAACTGAGGTTAACATTTGTTGGCAAATATGTAATCAGACATAGAGTTATTGAAAAAAATGTGGTTTTATCCTTTTTTACAAATATGGCTTTATCCTTTTTCACATAGGCCAATAATTGAAAGGGTTATAATGAATTGCATGAGAAGTAGATATGTCACACCAAGCCACCGTATGTAATGACAACGTCAAAATAGGATCTGGTGCACTATCTTTATCATGAAACTGGGAAAAGTCTAATTTCCTGTCAGAATCACGTGGATCCTTTGACGCCATTTGACACCATGTTGATTTTAACGGTGGCTTGTCCCCTTTTGATGCAAAATATAATGAAGTTACTAAAACGGGGGGAGCTAGAATTGGCTAATATGATATTAAAGATGGAATACGGAGTGCTTTAGTTTGGTCAACTAATTTTTGACAAAATTGTGGCTCATCCCCTTCAGGTTCCAAGGTCTTCAATTATGAAGATACGTGACAGACTGCGACCCGAAGAAATCCGTTTTTCCATCAATGTGTTTTATATTCCATTGAAGCATCCGTTCCATTATAGATTCTATCAAAAAATTGGTGGCGTCACGACAAAAAAGCGCACCCCCTATGTATTTTTTTACCTGGTGTGCCTTCTAGAGCAGCTTTTGCTCCGGTGAGCTGAATAATACCACCATCTTTGAGATGATGTGCAGCGATGCTAGCTGCAATGAGAGAGCTACAAACGCTTTGGGTCCACATGAGTTCGGCATTCTTTGTCAAATCTGAAATCACCAATGAAAAAATGGTTTAGCAGCATTAATGAACTGTTCTTTGAAAAAAAGTCTTGAAATACTTGAAGAAGACGATGAAACACTGAATTGAAAATTTGAACCAATGAACACCAAATAAAGATCTTTTTTCTGTGACGGGAAAAAAGTTTGGCATTTCATCTCTGTTGGCAGGTTATAAAATGTCACTTTTCATAAATTACTTTTTTCCCGTGGGAAAAAAGTGAGTACTTCTTTCCCGGATATATATCACATATATATACTCTGTTAATGGCTTTTGTTGTGCAATAGTTCCGAAAAATGAGTCAATAATACCGTCTCCGAGAAAGAACTGCAAGTCCTTTTATCTTCCATTCGACTTCGCAGTTTCGTATATTACTAAACAACTACTGAATTCGCAATTTTTTAAAATCAAATCACAGAATTGAACTGACAGTAGTGACATCAGATATTTGATTACTTCAAAAGAATGATGAAGATGCCTATAAAACGCAGGTGTCCCTACTGTTAAAAACTTGAAATTTCACGTCGATAATTTTCAGATTTCGAAATAATGTAATATCTTCTCAATATTGATTCGTCCTTCCTTCTGTCACAGAAAAAAATAGTGTATTATACACGGGAAAAATATTAGATTTTAGCTCACGGTTTTTTGTCTCCCTCCGCTACGCGTCGGGAGACAACACAACCTGGAGCTAAAATCTACAACTTTTTTCCCTTGTATAATAAATAACTATTGAATCATGTTATCACCTGCAATAAATGACATACTTTACTATACTAGGTGAAGATTTTTGTACATACCTTTTTGGGCATTTCCTCCGGCCCAACCACCTGCTACACAAAAAATTCCATCCAGCTTCGAACCATTCAGTGCTGATTTGATTGTTGATAGAATTGAAGTTTCCTGATATAAATATTTAAATCAATGAACTATGAAAACCATCCATTCAAAGTGGCCCCACAGTATTCATAAATGAAAGAAAAGACTCGGTCGTGGTCCACACTTTATATCAAAAATTTTAAATTGGAAAGTGACCAGTTAAAATACATTACGAATGTTGAGGAATGACATGTATATGGTGTCAGAATGAAACAAACCTGTTATGGGTCAGGAAAACAAACAGACCATTGTATTATGGTATTTAATTTCAATGATGGTCTGTTTGTTTTCCTGACCCATAACAGGTTTGTTTTATTCTGACACCATATACATGATTTTCCTCAACATTTGTAATGTATTTTAAGTCGTTTTAGTCTGATGATGGCCATTGTGACGAAACTGGTCACTTCCGAATTTGAAATTTCTGATATAAAGTGTGGTCGACTGACTTAGAGTCTTTTCTTTCATTTATTTGAATCAATGCCTTTGGTTTCATGAATATCTCGTGAATGATAACCAGAGAGTGATTATTTTGATGATATTAAAGATCTTATGTGATTATAATAATTTCAAATATCTTATCGTAAAGGTGGTGAATTAGTCAGCTAATGTTGAGTCTTTTCTCTATCTACCTTTTTCCTTCATGAGAAATGGAAGGATCGAGATATGCTCCACTCCATGGTCAAGATGAAAATCTAGACAAGTTGAAGATCTACTAGAATGTACAAAAAATAAACTTGCAATGCACGATATATGACGTCATGAATGGTAAGAGGAGCGGTAACCTCCCAATGGTTAAAACCGATGGTCCATGGCAAAATTTGTTCAAAAAAATAGAAATAGACAAAATGAAGAGAAAGGAAAAGGCTGCTTCCATAGTTCATGCATACATATGGTGAATGGCCAACACTTTTCACTTGATATACCTAAGCAAAGTATACAGAATATTTTTTATTCTGTAAACTTTGATATAAGTATAGATAATATTTATATATGAATATTAACATATAAATGATGAATTAATGATAATATTCACACATTTTTTATTCAAACGGGGTTTGTAAAATTGGTATAATACCAACCTGTTGCTGAAAGTTCTCCTCCTTTTTGACAATTATATTAACATCTGCTTCAGGGTTTTCTCCCATGTCTATGGATCCTACCCACTGAAAACGGATTCTCTATTAATGACGACCAAATACGACATTCCTTATAATTACTGTAGAGATACTTACGAAGTTATTTGCTTTGAAGTGAGACACACATTTGGCTCCTAGAGCTCCTCTGCCGCCGTAAATAATCACACGACCTGCTTGAGACATCTTTTTTGAATTTTAAGAGCTGTCGTTCAGATATGTCTCACTGATCGATCTGTAGCCAATAATTTGAAAGTAGCAACAACATAATATATGGATCACTAATTATTTCTCAATCGCAGAGATTAGATCAATGGGTATTTTTCTTTACTTTCAAATCAGACCGCACATAACCTTGAAAGACTAGTGGAAATAACATTGGGCGTTGCCAAATCACTGTTGCACCTAATTTTTAGTATCCTCAAATCAGAAGAATCTTGTGTATTCTGATATTATTGGGAGTTGGAAGTTCGGGAAAAGTTATAATAATTTAATTTCATTGAACAAGAATAACTTGAAATATGGAATATGTCATTGAAATTGTCAAAATGTAGGTTTATTCCTATTGGATCAATATTTCAACGTTCTAGAAACATGAACCAATTGACAACACTGTATCAGGGTATGCGCGCCTGAAATGTTTGCAACTAATGATGAAACTTATTGGAATGAGAGTTGCATGCCTTTCGTGCATGTGTGAAACTTTGATTATATTGAAACTAAAGGATAACTGACTTGTTGTGAAAATGATTGAGTTTTCATGTATAATCTAGACCACTTTATTATGAGTTACCATGATAATATCCTTCTAGAGATTTATGAAATAATTTTCAGTGTTTCATCAAGAATTATCAACATCAGAATCTTTTGAATAACCCACTTCAATGAAAACGATATTCTTCAAGTACCTACTAATAGGTAGAATTTTGAACTGAACACGAAAAGGGATATCCTGTAGGTAATGTTCAAAGAACATCGTGAGAATCAAGGAGAATAAGGTAGGAATTGATGTTCTTCTTGAATTTCTGGAGGTTATATGCCTCAGGGAACACTTTCCTTGGCAATGTGTTCCAGAGCCTCGCTGTTCGTTGGATGAACGAGTCTTTGGAAAGAGATGTTCTGCAGGTCTCCAAAGTGACCACCAAGGGGTGCAAAGCCTCAACTCGACGGGTTAATCTCGCGGGGACTGCCAAGGGAGGAACAATTGTTGATATTCCAGAAGAGCATCGTCCATGGAAAAATCTGTACAATAGAGCCAGATCGTCAACTTTTCGAAGGTGTCCCAGGAAAGTGAGTGAGTTTGTGAGCGAGGCATCACCCACGAGACGAATTGCCCTTTTTTGGACAGGTACTCCAGATATGGGAACAGTATTCCAGGACAGGTCGGATCTGTGCCTTATAGATTATAAGCAGCTGACTGGAAATGAAATAGCTCCTGGCCCGAAACAGAAAACCAAGTTTTTGGGATGCACTTTTAGCAATTGATCGCACGTGATTTTCCCAAGAAAGGTTATTGCTGAATTGCTGATAGTAATCCCAAGCATCGAAATGGATGTCTTCAAAGGTATGGTTACGATAGTATTTTACTGAACGCGAGCGAAAACTGCGTACACTATTTTTGCGGCAACCACATAGAATAACAAATCAATGAGACACATATTGTCACATATTTCATTGTAGAATAAAATTTCGAATATTTCAATTCTTATTTGTATCAAATACTGAAATTCGAACAGAATACCAATTGGTACTAGAAGGCACATTTTCAAACTGATTATCGCTTCTACTTTATTGCGATAATTGCGATCAGAATTATCAGAAAGAATGCAAACTTTGAAAAATCAAAATGTCAATTAATTTCGTGTCAAATAGCTGTCAGCAGTTATTTTGCTGCTATGATAATGATCTTCTGCATTTATGAAAAACATATCTAACAAAAATTTCATAGTTACAATGGCAACAACGATGTGATACTGTTCTAGTACGGGAAATACGCACTTCCCGGAGACGACTGGAAAAATACTACTTTCTCAAAGAATAGCGGTAAATAGGTCCCTCCCAGACGGTTGCCACAACACTATATTTATCAGGTACCTATAGGTCGAATTATTATTAATTGAATAATAGAAGTTGTAATTTTTGGCTCCTTGAAAATTTATCGTACCTTATTCGTATATCTGTTGAAACAAAAAAATTTTTTTTTTATGAGTAGGTACCTAAGCAAACTTTTGATAGAGTTGAAAATACTGATGGTTTGCTCTGCATATATCTCGTTAGGAGGTAATAACTAACGGTATTTCGCTGAATCACTGGAGATACAGATAAAGCAGAATCGTGATTAAGAGAATTCTATGAAGGAATGCACGAAATCATGTCGAAAAGCGAAAGAAAAGGTAGGCATATACCTCTGATTTTTTAGTAACAACTGGTGCATCGAAAGTTTCGGCGGTACTTTCAATATTGTGCGAGTAAAATTCCAAAAAGCAATGAACAATCATTGGAATAATGGCTCGAATTTGGAAATTATTCGATACCAACCGAAATAATCATGCCACGATTGGTACGTATATCGGTCTCAGACCATCCTACTCAGTTATTTGAATCATTTGATATATTATCGATGAATATTCACATTATGTACAGGTTGTTCTTCTGTAGGAACAGTGTTCTCCAAAGAACAGATTGCGATTGAAAAATAATGTTTCCGAACAATTTCTATATAATATCTCATGAGATAGAGCCTTCGCCAAGTTCTCAATTGTCACACTGTATATTAAAAACATACATTTCCTCTAATTTTATGCATTATGGAACATATTTCTCAAAATTGTTTTCAATACATGAGAAATATCACGATTATGTCTAAGTATATGTACATATGTCAATAAGATGAAACAAAAATACCGCAGTCGTCATCTTGGAAATTCTTAACTGTAATTGAAATAATTGTTTTCCCCATCCAATAAACGTCCTTCACATTTGAAAGCTGTTTCTTTTTTTGATTCTGAGTAATTGTATTATATTGTATACGCATAAGGGGTGGATACATTGCGACCTAAAAGTGATCTATTGTGCCCTCTTCTTTTGACCCGATGGCGAGGTTGTATGTTCTCTGTTGCTATAACGAATTCACTAATCCTATATCGCTCAGAAATTTCTGTAGGTAGACACACTCCGTAAGTATATAGATTATTAGATACAGGTTTCCTCCTCTTCCTCACATTCCTCCTTCCTCACTCTTCCTCACTCTTCCGCATTCGTCTTCTTCTTCTAAACCGAGCTTCCTAAGATGTCCTTTCGACCAGTGTACGAATTTTGTTTCTGCTTTTAGGTTGACGTATATGCGTTTGATCTCTTGTGGTTATGTGTACTCAATACCCAGCAAACACAGCTACATCACAGAGATATCGCAGCGATTTAACAATTCTATGTACATGTTATTATGTCGCACTCTAGTTTCATCAATGTGACGTCGGTGCGATAAGTTCTCTGTCATATAACAGCGATATATTTTTTGCAATGTAATTGTGCTTTTGCAATAAAACTACGGTGTGATGCGAAATGACATCACAGCAAAAAACGAAAAAAAAATAAGTTCCCTCAAATATATAGTGTAGTAATGAAGACAATATAAATCTTGTGTTCCACAGGAAGGAAGGAATACTCGAAGTCATCCCTACAAATTTTGATGATGTTACATAATCATAAGGGACATGGTTCGGTCTTATAAAAGACCATCTTCAGCCTAATTGAAAGGTCTACAATACACAAACAAATAATCTTTGAAGTGAAAGAATTACCTAGTTTGTGCTTGACTTACTTGGAGTTGAAAAAAATGTTTGATGCTATTGTTTCTTGAATTGTTGTCAATGCCCATAGCCAACAATTCAAGAAACAGTAGCCCAGTTGGCAAAAAACAAGGTCCACAACATCAAAATCAACCATCAATAACGACAAATATAATACCATATATTTCCGGCATATCTGAAAAAATAAAACCTGTTGGTGATAAATTTCAAGTGAAAACTGTGTTAAAAACTGAAATTACAATGAGATCAATTCTAACTCAAACAAAACCGAAACAATCGCCAAAAAATGTTATTTACAGTATACCTTGTGTTCGTGGAAAGTTTTATACAGGTGAAACCAAGTGATCTCTTTCAGTAAGGACGAAGGAACATAAATACAATACCTACATATAAAGAAAAGACACATCGACAAATCGAAACTAGCTGAACATATCCTTACTGAAGATGGACAACATATGGCATAGTGGAATAATATTAAAATCATTGGAAAAGAAGATAACAACCTGAAGAGGAAAATCAAGGAATCTGCTTGCATTCTTCTGAACAAAGACAATATCATTGCTTCTTGTTCAGTTGATATAGACAGAACATGGTATTCACAACTAAAATCAGAACATGAAAATGGTAAATTCAAGATTGATTAATGAAAACATCCTGTAACTCATTTGAATGCCAACGTCACCAATTGTCAATGAAAATTGAAAAGCTTCAAGACAACTACGACTTTACTATTGAAATAATCATTTCCTATGTTGAAAACGGGAGCAGAATCGGTTCCAAAACGTCCAAAGATAACTGAAAATTTTATATTTTTTCTATATACCATTATTTCTCTTCTCAAAACTTTATTCGTTACAAATTGTCACTGACAAGATAGTGAATTTTTCTTTTCGGCTCTCTGATAGGAAAATTCTTTAAACGCAGTGACATTTTGGGGCAAATCATCTGATTTGTCCTTACTACACGTATATTGAAATAATATTCATATTTTTATTTTATAGAAACGGGGAGAGAAAATCCCAAAAAATTTGGAATGGATCACACTTCAATCCGAAAAGTAATGGAGCTAAGTTAAAACACTCACATTTGCCACAAGATGTTGAGAAGTTAAGGGTGAAAGAGGATCTCTGGTTCCTCCCTCTATAAAGATCAAGTCAAGTCATCAGCTTTTCTTAGGAGCTACTATCCAGGCTGATATCTCCAAACATGAATGAGTACGATTCAATCGAAATTTCACAAAAATCGGACCAGAATTAATTTGGCAAAATTTATTGGTGGCCAGTATTTTTTGCCGGTGAGTGTATATTACACTTCAAAAATTCAACCAATGGGGTCGAAAGACATTTTCCATAAGATATTTGCGAAATTCCTTTTGAAATAACTAGACCATTCTCGCTTTATTGTATCCTCATACATCAGGGATGTAGTAAGGGGTAGAGACAACGGAAAAGGACACGCCGATACTAGGGTGGTAAAGCATAAGAGCTACCACTAGAGACACCCAGTATGTCAATCAAAACAAGGTTCCACATCTCGTGTATAACCGTACAGCATCGTATAAACACGTCTCGAACCAGACAAAGAACAAGAATAATTTTATCCTCTCGTTTATCATTTCATTACTCTGTTTATTAAGTTGATAAATAATACAATACATGTAGCGCGCTCGGTATCTAAATCTCCTTTATTAACATTTTATCGTCAACAATAAAATGATAACAAGTCAAGTACTAGTTCTATATATTTTCCCAAAGTACTAAGCGAGTTCGGGTTATTATTAAATTCCAGTGAGCAACAAGCAACAAGTGAAAGTTTTCAAAGTCAGATGACGTAAAAGAGGATCGTAGAAGGCAGGTAAACAGCAGCCAGCAGCAGCGACAAAATCGTGTTTGTGTTATGGGCATGTCCTGCTAGTCCGGTGACGAATATGCAGCAGATATTTCGGCAGGAAAAAGCCCATTTTCCGCACGCTCTGGCGCGAAGATGAGCGGGGGCTCTTCTTACTCGGATACCGGAAGTTCAGTGTGTCAGAAGTCACCGAAGAAGCCCAGGAGAAATGTGGGCGATAGGGTCCTGATAACGTCTCATTCCAAGGTCTACGTCAATCACGATAGGGGATCGGATTTCGCGTGTGATTATCGAAGTGGGGTACCAAGGGAGGGTGTGTGTGACAAAGACGCGATGGTTAGTGAGAGTTTGAGGAGTTACAAGGACTTGCCGAAGTTCAAGAACAGGATATTCGAGGATAGTCTGGAGAGTCAGGAGGTGTCGTTCTACATCGGTAAAGATATCTTTAGTGACGCAATAAGCTACCTATACGTATATTATTCTCAAACTGAAGGAAATGTAATCAAATTTGATATATTTCCTACCAAAGTCCTAATTGGAGTTGTAGCCATATCATTCCAACCAAAACGTCCCCAATATTCCGAAAATTTTCCGAATCAATGGGGTTGTATATACACTAGTCGAATATACGCCACAATCTTTATTTTATTTTGATCTTAGTAATTTTGGAGGTTCATATGTTTACGGGTAAACCGCGATGGAATTCTGGTGTACAAATAACTCGAATTTCTTGGAATTTCCTGGATTTTCTTGGAATTCCTTAGATTTCCTTGGATTTCATTGGATTTACTTGGAATTTCCTGCAATTCCTTGGGTGGAATGCGATATATTCCTGGTCTACAAACAACTGGAATTTCTTGGAATTCATCGGATTTCCTGGGAATTCGTTGGATTTCCTTGGAATGCCTTGGATTCCCTTGGAATTCCTTGGATTTCCTTAGAACTCTTCGGGAGACGTTTTATATAATTCTGGTGTACAAACAACTAGAATTCATTGGATTTCTTTGGATTTTCTTGGAATCCCTTGGATTTCCTTGAAATTCCTAGGATTTCTTTGGAATTCCTTGAATTTCCTTGGAATTCCTTAGATTCCCTTGAAATTTCTTGCATTTTCATGGAATTCCTTGGATTCGAATTTCTTGGATTTCCTTGGAATTCCTTCGATTTCCTTAAAATTGTTCGGGTGAAGGGCGGTATAATTCTGGTGTACGAACAACTGGAATTTCTTGGATTTCTTTGGATTTTCTTGGAATTCTTCGGATTTCCAAGGAATTCCTTGGATTTCCTTGAAATTCCTTGGATTTCCTTGGAATTCCTTGGATTTTCATAGAATTCTTTGGATTTCCATGGAATTCTTTGGATTTCCATGGAATTTCTTGGATTTTCTTGGAATTCCTTGGATTTTCTTGGCATTCCTCAGATTTCCATAGAATTCTTTGGATTTCCTTGGAACTCCTTGGATTTCTTTGAAATTCCCTGAAATTCTTGGAATTCCTTGTGCGAAGTGCAGTATAAATCTGGTGTATGAACAACTGGAATGCCTTGGAATTCCTTGTGAGATTGAAGTTTGGTGTTCACAATTCTGACCGAGGTTTATCTTCGATTTTTATTACATGAAATAAAACTGGATGCCAAATTTTTAATTGAGGGATAAAATGTTCAGTCTCACCAGCTGTCGCTACTAAAACGAGAGGTCAGTGTCAAAGTCAAGAGTCCAATGGACTGTTTTATAAAAAATATTCGACAAAATGATGTAGAATATTTGAACAAATAGAAAATCCCGAGTTATCGAAATACTTGAGCCGATTAACGTTTTTCTGATCTCAATGTGGAACTTTACGTCCTATTCTTACATTGACGAAGAAGAAGATGTCGCAGGAATAGGTCAGATGACACGAAATGAAGTAGTATATTTATCAGTTCTACCAACTTTTCTACCAAAAATCAAATCCAACTTTGAAGGCTACCCATACAAAATGAATCCGAACGAAATTTGTACAGAATGTAATAACGCCTGTTCCGAAACAATCCTCCATATATTATTTGAATGCCCAATTTATACTTCAATGAGATCAAGAAAACTTGCTTTCCTCACCAGCCCTCAACTGCTAGTAGATGTGATCAACAATATATAACTCCTCCTACTTCAAAATCAATATTTCATCACTGGAAAATTTTGAAATTGAGGTCTTATTATGAACGAATGAAATCATACTGTTTCAGTAACTTGTTTTCTGCATAAAGCTTACTCAAAGGCTTATTGTTTACAGTTTTCTTTCAGTTTTTTCCATTTCTCTGTATTGATTAGGTATCAACATTTGGTATAGTTCATATATATGTTATAAAATATGTAGTTTCTCAGAAGCAAATAAATTGATTGATTGATTGATCGATTTATTGATATTCATCAGTTCTACCAACTTTGACCTCACGTGTTGGTAGACAATAAATAATGTTTGCCCTCAATAGGGCTTTATGCAAATTCCTGAATATATAGCGGGTTTTGGTGACAATATAATTAATACTCATTCATTGTTTCGAATCATCAAAATAATATTTTTCAATAACTGAAGTCGATATCTTTCAAAAACGCTCATTCTTTTTGAAATTATACACCGACAAGCACCATATATCTCATATTCCTTATGTTTACGATTTTCCGCGTTTTTCATGTCGTGAAGATATCGTGGATTTCAATACTTATTATGGAATTTTTCACCAAAACAGGTCCATATCGCTATTAAATTTCATCTCTGGAATCCCAATTTTCTTCCTCCGTGTAACAACTACGAAATGATTCATAGGTATTGAGTTTCCTGAATTTCATTTCTTCTGAACTGAAATGACCTGCTCCGAAACGTGTGATATTTTTGGCGCTATTTATTTCGAACGATTCTCTTGGAACTAATTCCTATTTCAAATAATGTTATGTAATGTTGTTTTGGGGTATTTCATAGTTCCATGATTGAGCATTCATTGGCTATATTTACAAAAAGTGTTCATATTCTACTCAAATACAAATATTGAGCCAATGTGAAAATTGGTTATTGGTGCTTTATTTCCTATATGTCAAATGATTACATTAGTATGTGCGTTCGCAGAATTTCCAATTAGCACAAATTATTTTTAATGAAATATCGTACATTTTTGCACACTCCTACACAGTGGAACATTTTCGGGTGTGATGTCAATCGAGTGGATTCCAGAAATAACTTGATTAGCAATAACTATTATATCAATATTATTAGACATTTGATGAATACGTGTACAGTGGTGTCAATTGACACTGTCATAGTGAAAAATCACAGGGATGTGGTGATTTAGAGGGGTTCTGAAATATCCATTCAAAGGAAAGACACCAAAAAGATGAAAAGTAATTACTTTCGATAGTGGTGATATTCGAGTTAACGCAAAATATACACTTATTATACACACACTGGCACAATTAGGGGAACGGGCAAAATTTACACTAAGTTTGACATCAATTTTCTTTCGAACCGATCGCTCGATTCCAATTGTAGCTTCATTCATCACGAATACATCTGAGAGATAATTACCTTCAAACGATGAGTCTTTCTATCATATACAGGGGTGTAAAGAAAGTACGGATTTTTCGGTATTTTTTGAGACATCCTGTGGACTGAACCACTGATAATTGAAACGATTTTTCAACATCAAATTGGAGCCTAATCTATTTCGAATATTTTCGTTTTTTATTCATCTTGATATCTCAATTATTCAAGAAAATACAGAGTTTCAGGAAAGGTGGATATTGGTATCAATTTTACCACCTCGAAACTCAAATTGGATCTGAAAATGTGTCGTTTCTTGACTAACCTAACCTAACCATGACTAAACCTCTGCCATAGGAGACAGAAGCAGTAAAATCAAATGGTTCATTTTGTTCACCTCGGCGATATAGTCTTTTCCTGCCATCTATTGAATTGATGCAGATGCGGCTCTCATATGTTAAAAGAACATTGGCCCACTGGTCATTTTCAATTAATGCTACAGCCCTCGCCACATCAGTAGGAGTCAAATCTCTCATGTTGAATTTTCATTAATCAAATTCATGAATTGTGAAAGAGACATAAACAAAATAGCCAACGTTGATTAACAAAAATAGCATTTCACCAAAAGAACATTGGAGCAACTTCTATCACCCCTGCATATTCATGAGAGTATTCGTATATGTGTCTTTAAACAGTAAACCGATAGGTAAAACTGTGAACAATTCTCATCTTGAAGTAAAAGTCCTCACAGAAACAAGTTGAAAAACGACACGTTTTCCCCAGTTCGAGTTTCGAGGTGGTAAAATTAATACCAATACCTTCTTTGAAACTCTGTATTTTCTTGAATAATTAGGATATCAAGATGAATAAAAAACGAAAATATTCGGGATGGATTGGGCTATAATTTGGTGTTGGGAAATCGTTCCAATTATCAGTGGTTCACTCCACACATCCTCTTAAAGAATACCGAAAAATCCGTACTTTCTTCACACCCCTGTATATGATATTAAGACGAATCGTTTGGAGGTGGTTATTTCTCAGATGTATTCGTGAAGAATGGAGCTACAATTCGTGAAAAACAAATTTGAATCGAGTGATCCGTTCGAGAGAAAATTTATGTCAAACTTAGTGTAAATTTTACCCGTTCCCCTAATTGTGCCAGACCGTGTATGAATCATAAGCTTTGGGGCTAATATAATTCACTCATCGTCTTGCATTCTACCATGTGAATAAATAATGTTGCTGAGGTTGAAATTACCCCCTGGAAAACCTAAACTCATCGAATAATGGATAATAATTGTATAATTTTGAGATTGCGAAGCTATATAGTGTACTTATATCGAACCAGATTTAAACATAAGATTCAATATCATAGCATAAATTATGTGCACAAAAAATATTGAGTAAATATCTTGATAGATGGTGACACTAGCGCTTCTTCGACGCTCGTCTCTCGACAGCCTTCAAATAGTATCAGTTCAGAGATGTTTTGTAATGTTTCAACTCTCACTACAATGGATCATTTCATACACAGAATACTAATGTTAGTTTATCAGAGTCGTATTCAACACTCAGATGCAAAGAAGAAAGCACAACAAAAAAATATTCGAAAAAGATTCGCATATTATAATATCATCAGTAAAATAAAAAACGCAACATATAAAGTTTCAAAATAATCACCAAATGATTTGATATTACACCACTTTGGTGTTGAATAACACGACCCGATCAAATTACCACTAGGTACTCTAGTGTACTTCTTGACTGTATGTAGGAACGAGTAACACCCTATGATGATTTTGAAAATATTAGTGTTAATTCTCACTAAAATAATCTGGACCTCAGGTGACACTCAAGGGTGTTAGCTGGTGTGAACTGGTGTAATTTTTTTTCACTGTGTATAAGAATTCAAATTAGTCCTCAGAAATTTTCAGCATCATTTATTCCTGTTACTTTTGATTTTCTGGCACTACCCAATGATTTCTTGAAATTTTGTCTCTGTACCGTTGGTTTCATTCAACGAATTTCTTGCTTCGCCAATAATTATTGATGACATAACAACATCAAATTTCCAACTTGGCTAAACATTACTACCAGACTCTTTCAATATTTTTTGTACAAAGCGGAATCCATTCCACTGGCATACCCTGTATTTTTATCAGAATGAGGTCAACAATAGTTTAACAACTGATGATGTAGGTATTTGTGTAATCAAATTACAAACACTTGTGTACACTCACCGTCAAAATAATCACGATCCACTCATTCAAGTGACTTCTCACTGAAACTTTTTACATCTCAGGATATGCCTTTACAAAAAAAAACTACTACATATTCCTCAGACCCAAGTAATTCGATAAAATCAAATTTACTTCAGAACAAAGTTGCTTAGTTTCTGCCGAGGGGCATTTCGCTGAGGAATTTTGTTGTACACTCATGTGGAATTACGAGGAATTGCCAAGAAATTGAGAGGAATTGCGAGGAAATTAGAGGCATTACAAGGAATTACGAGGAATTATGAGGAATTGTCGAGGAATTGAGAGGAATTTCGAGGTGATGAGAGGCATTACAAGAAATTACGAGGAATTGTGAGGAATTATGAGGAATTGTGAGAAATTATGAAAAATTGTGAGGTATTGTGTGAACTTCTGAGGAATTTTTGGCATTTCAGTACAAACAGCGCTTGCGTGAAGAACTCGAATACGTCAGCTCAGTTCAGTTTATCAACTCATTCAATTCGAACGATCCAATTAATTCGAAAGGGAATATATTTGGTTCTATCTCTGATGCTATCTGGCTTTCTATAGACAGTTGTAGATATTTCTAAGAAACTTCATTTTACGTATAATACACATGAAAATCTAGGTGTTCTCTCCCTAGCGTGAGCTGAGTGATTTTGGTTTCTCCTGGAAATAATTAATTCACGAGATATTCAAGACTTCCTTTTGTTTGATCTCCTTGTATAGGTTCCGGGCGAGGTACCAGGTGATTTTCCATGGTGAATCACCTCCTCGCTCACTAATATAACTTTTTTATTATTGAAGGTAGAGAAACGAAATTTGGGGACTGTGAATGATAGTTCCTTTGACATTTTGTAACATATCTACTTGCTTTGGGGGACTAGGCGTACTTCCGGTTTGACCGGAAATGTCCCCAATAACTTCAGATTTTTGAATTGGACACCCTGTATTTTTTACCATCTTCAGTTGAAAAATATCGTAACAAATTCAACGATACCGGGATTGATAGGGTTATTTCCAATGATTATGAAGATATTTGCATTCAAAGTTTCGATATTCTATGCTCATTGCGGGTCTTTGGGAATTCAAGGAACTCCTTGTAAAATGCGGGATTTCATTGAGTAGTCCGGGTATTTTTGGGGAAGTCCGGGAATCCCTTCGGAAGTCTGTATAATCACGATATTTCGAATCTTGTGTTTCATCGAATTCCAAAATGGCAAAATACTCGCGGTGTTGAATTTATTAGAACTCATTCACTATCACATGAATTCTAAATCTACTAAAATAAGATCGATTTAACATTTTCTTTATCTTTTGGAGGGCACGAAAAGGAATCTCCATTATATTTGAGATATTTTATGTCATTTCCATTCATTCGCCTTCATCAATTTTCACAATAGACGTGTTTTCAGTGTATCAGTTTTGTCCTCAGATTCACCCAATCGAAGTGATGCAAGTGAAAAAAGATAAGAAAGAATAATTCATTTGACCTTCTGAATTTATTTGCACTTACGGGTACAATGAACTGATTTGTGAAATATCAAATGAATTTGAAATCGATATATCACGAGATATTTTATCATTGAATAAGTAGGTACTCGACTTATTCATGAGAGACAGGAATTCCTTGGATAGTCCCTGTAATTCCGGGAGTTCGTTCGACAAAAGAAGTCTGGTGTACCCAAAATTGCTTGTATCAATTTTTTTCGTCGTCACGGAATATTATGTACATTTTTCATGACATATCGGTTGATCGTTTTGATGTTGATAGATGCTTTAAATAACAGAAATTGAAATTTTGTCGAAACCATGATAGTAATAGAATTTTATGAAGAGTACCTTTTTTGTAGTAAACAATATTTGCAATCCATTTTTCATATTCAAACCCCTTTATTGCCATTGGCGTAGAAGTTTTAGATATTTATTATTTACTGAAAAAATCATGTTCAACGCTCATGGAATGTTATCCATCATTATTATGGTATGGATTTTAATGCCCAATGAAGCTATGCCTACGTACCAAATTTTAGCCTGTTTCAAAGTTATGAAGCAAAAGCGATTAGATAATTGCTCGGATAATTGTAACATCAGAGCCGTCTATAGCAACTCTGTATACATAAGTGAATTTGCTTCAATATAATTGTCTGAGGAATATGTGGTAAGTTTTCGTAAATACCTTTTAGGATGACCCTCAATAATTTCTGCGTCTGATGAAGCCTACGATTTTCCTGACGGTTGACTTTTCCACTTCAGCAGGGGTGAGATAGACCTGTTCTAGGTGGTTCAGCCTTTGGCGGACTAATACTTCACATGAGCAAAGTATGTGTTCCGCGGTTTCGGTCGCATTTTTACAAAAGCGGCAAGTGTCAGTCTCCGCCAGACCCATCTTTTTGAGGTGGTACCTCAGAGGGCCGTGTCCTGTGAGAAAGCCTGTGATAAGCTTTAGCTCTGGTTTGCTGAGGCTGAGTTGCTCTTTGACTCGGTTCTGCGAATGGTTGATGAACCTTTTCGCTTGTCGTTAACCTGGAGTTGCTCTCCAGTAGGAGGACTTTTCAATTTCTTTCCAAAAGGCTCAGGACCAAAAAGTGCAGATGCTGCACCTTTTTTTGGAAGGCGATCAGCTGCCTCATTTCCTTTGATTCCTTCATGCCCTGGAACCCACATAAGTGTGACTTTGTTGCCCTTTCCCAGTTGCATGAGTGTTTCAAAGCAGTCCCATGTAATATTTGATGCCATTAATGACTATATATGCATGCTGATTGAATAATAATTAGAAAAGTCAATTAAATTTGACCCGCAACAAACAAATATGACAAGCACCTGAAGGACGTATAATCTCATTAATTATTCCATTTCAATAGAATTTGTACCCATTATGTTCAGCCGCATACAAGTGCTTCATTACATCATTACGAAGGACTTGTGAAATCTTCCTTTCTGTTAGAATCTCACTATGTTATTTAGTAATAAGCTCTCCAGGATCCAATAAAGCTGAACGAATTGGGATTCCCAAGATGATCCCTCTTGGGTACGCGTAACTTGAATTTGATAGTCTCCTACACTCTATTCCTAGATAAAATACCGATTTTGCTCCAAAATCTATTTTTTGAATTGGGTTACTTCATCAGTAGTCGATAAAAATGATGCTGATGAAGATGATAGGTCATTTTCATCGACACATATCCGAAATTTGTCAAAAAATCTCGCAAAACACTTTATTCCGGAACTGGTTGCCCATAGAACGACAAATCTTGGAATTCTTGCCTGTATAGGAAAGTATAATTTCCGAGAACTCTCAATGAGTCCGAACATTCTGCAAACTATTCCAATATTCAACTTCTGTCCAGTGATCCACAATGTTCCACAAACATAACAAGGATTTTCTTTCGTCTGTCCAAAAAAAAGTTGAAAAAGTCATGAGGAGATCTTTTCTGAGAAAATATTCAATGGTGGGAATGTTTCACAGATAATTACGATGATATGATATTCATTATATCGTATGAAGGTATATTGAATTTATTTTTCTAAACATGAAACAAGTCCCTGAATATCTTGACAATTATCCGAAACAACTTTTTTTTATGGATATTCAAATAACTAGAATTAATGAGAGTATTTGTTCATTCTCAAAAGTTTCAATAAATTGCACAACAATGCACAGATTATTCGGAAATTGAACAAACAATTCATGTTGAATTAGCTAATATTCATCACAACAAAACATATCGAGATTGACAAAACATATTTTACTGTATGTCTCGCTCGAATCATAGTTATTTTATATTGTTTGCGAGAAATTCCATAACAATAAATCAAGGAAATAAAGTCCATATCAATTTCCAGAGGATAATACTGAAGACGAAGCACCCGAATACGAAAACGTTGAAAACTTAGACCTCACTTACGACTCTTTTGACAGTGATGACGAATTCTACGATGTCAATGAGGTCAGTATATCATCCTGATCCTACAGTTTCCAGGATAACTCTCCGGTATATTCCAGGTCGAGTTCAGAAATCAAGTACCCAACAATCCCCTTCCCCCAATACCATTATCGGAAACTAATGGACTGAACAAATTGACACAGAACATCAAGAGATTTAAAAAAAACTTCTCTAGGGACATCACCAAGTCCCTCCGGAGGATGTCTAGGAAGGTCTCACAAACAGAAGATCAAACGAACGGTAACTATGGGATCCTCAATAACTTGAAAATCTTGAGAAACTGTTGGTTTAGATCAGCGGTTCCCAAACTTTTTTGGTGACGGTACTTAAAAAAAAAACGAATTTTTTTACGGAACCCTGAACACAAAAGTGAAAGTAAAATCAGTAATATGTGTATTGTTTCCTATTAATGATACAATGGAAGGTAGCTATAGAGAAAGATATAGAGTTCACAACAGCCTGTACATATGAATACAAAATAATTTTCATCGCTGTCTACAGGAGTCCAGCAGGCGAGTATGACACATTTTTGAATATTTTTCACGACTTGCTTGATGAGTTATATCAAAAGTTCAAGAACTATACGTTCATTATTTGCGGAGACTTCAACGTCGATTTTAGCGTCGCAAGCAAAAACCTATCTGACCTACAATCAATATTACAGATGTTTCAACTTATTGTAACCATAAATGACCCTACTAGAATAACTATCAAATCATCTACAATAATCGATAATATTCTCATAAAATCCAATCTCAAGTACAAATCCTATGTCGAAGATATAGGGATTTCGGATCACTCCGCGCAAATATTGAAACTCCAACATCATTTTAGCCAACGTAGTGAAATCACGCCATTCATAACAAAACGAGTATTTAATAATAAAAATAATGAAACATTCTCGAACCTTCTTGGCGACATTGACTGGTGTTCTCTGTATGAAAGGAACGAAATACACTCTGCATTTGAAATGTTTTATTCCATCATCAGTCCCTGCTTCTCACAAGCATACCCAAAAATTAGATTAAAATTGAGGGATAAACAAACTCACAAGGAGTGGCTCACAAGAGGCATAAAACTGTCTTGCAAAAACAAAAGGTTTCTTCTGCAGTTAAAACGTTGGACTGATAATCAAACAATTCTTGAATATATAGCCGAATATCTAAAAATATTGAAGAAAGTTATCAAATGTGCAAAATGTACTTATTTTGGAAATAAAATTGAATCAGCCGAAAACAAAAGCAAAATCACATGGGACGTAGTAAAAACTTTAACTGGTAAAAGTAGTCGTTTATCTGATAACATACACATAAAAAAAGATAATACTCTAATCGATGACCCAGTCAACGTTGCCAACGAATTTCTGAATTTTTTCTGTAATGCCGGCACAAGGAACATTTCCAATGTCACGAGCAATTCATCAAGCGAAAACTACATTAAACGAATGAATATGAACTTTTTGAACTCCCTCAATTTTGCGCCCATCACCGAGTCGGATATTGTTAACTGCGCTAGTGCTCTGAAACCGAAAAAATCTTCAGGAATAGATGAAATACCAATGACTGTCATAAAAAATAATATCAACTTGTTGAAAGCCCCTCTCACGTTTCTTTTCAATATGTCTCTATCCACTGGAATATTTCCTAACTGTTTCAAAACATCTGTGGTAGTACCGATTTTCAAGAAGGGTGATAAATCCGAGATAAACAATTATAGGGCCATATCATTATTAGCAAACTTCAGCAAACTACTCGAATGGATAGTTAATTATCAACTCAAAAATTACCTGCACACCAAAAATATTCTGACAGAATACCAATTTGGATTCAGAAAAAACCTTAACACAACCGATGCAGCTTTTACGCTCTTGGAGAGATTACACAATATCCTGGAATCAAGAGAATTTCCACTTGGTATATTCTGTGATCTCTCCAAAGCGTTCGATTGTGTGGATCATGTAATTTTGCTGAATAAACTAGAATACTATGGGATCCGAGGGATTGTTAAACAGTGGTTTGAAACTTATCTAAGAGATAGGGAAATGTTGGTAAGAGTAGAATATAGGGCACAGAACAGAATCGAACACTATCAATCAGGAAGGGGTCGCATAGAAACCGGCGTACCCCAGGGTTCTATCCTCGGACCAACACTGTTTCTCATCTACATAAACGATATAGTCTGTAATTTTCCCAATATATCATTTTCTATTTTTGCTGATGACACTAGCGTTGTTATCAGTGGCCTCTCGGTTGATGACCTCACCTCAAAAGCGCAAATCACAGTGGATGGTTTAGCAGACTGGTTTTCGTCAAATAAGCTATCATTAAATATATCAAAGACTCAAAATATTATGTTCAATCCATATAGAAATACCCAAGATATTGAGATTACCTTGAACGAAGAAAGTCTTGAGTCGAGTAATTTCACAAAATTTCTGGGGATAACTATCGATAGCAAACTCAATTGGACGGAACATATAAACCAGTTGAACTCCAAACTCACCAAAGCAATATACGCATTAAGAACTGTCCAAGCGAACACAAATCCTCAGGTCTCAAAAATTGTATATTTTGCATACTTCCATAGTCTGTTGCAATATGGGATTGAATTTTGGGGTAACTCTGTCGGTATACAGTCCACGTTTATAATTCAGAAACGCGCGATCCGCACTCTTTTCAAATTAAATTATCGGGATTCATGTAGAGACTATTTCCTTCAAAATAAAATATTCACCTTAACTAATACATATATATTAAAGATTTCCCTATTGATTCACAAAAAACGTGATATTCTCCAATATTCAAGTCACCGTCACCAGTATTCCACACGTACAAAAAACATAAGTTTGCCTAACTACAACTACGAAAAAACTCGAAATGGACCCCTGTATACAGGGATAAAAGTTTATAACCATTTACCGTACCACATGAAGGAAACGTCCGCCAGAAAATTCAAACAGTCATTGAAAAAGTTATTACACCAGCATGTATTCTACAACCTCAATGAATTTTTTGCCTTATCTTTTCCGGAAAACTATATAGTTTGATCTATTATACTACTCTTGATACTTACGTTATTATTATCATCCATTTATTATTGTTGAAACTTCTCCTTTACTATATATCAATATGATATCATTCATTCATTCATTTATTGTCAAAATAACTAATTTGTAAATACTTTACTCATGTCAAAATTAACTGATTTGTAAATACTTTTCTCAGTGATACTATTCCTTATGCCAATGGCTATGTACACCCTGTTGTATATTGGAAATAAAATACTTACTTACTTACTATAGTAAGTAGTAAGGTTTGGTAAGATAATGATAAAACTTTGTTCATTCAATGGGAGGCATGAAATTGTTTTTTATTCTCCATCAACTGGGTAATGTCAGGCTTGATAGAATGAATTATCATGTCTATTTCGTCATCCATTTTGTTTTTGTATCTGTTGGGAACGACAGAAGAAAATTCAAAGCCTCCGTGGCAAGTTGTGGATATTCGTCACAAAGCCTGCACCAAAAATCATTGAGTGACATTATTTCTAGTGTCCGATGCCTTTTCTGTAAATGATTCATTGATCTGATTTGATATATTCTCAGGATTCTTCAATCTCGATAAAAAGGGAATTTGAATCTATGAGTTTATTTTTAGTTTCTAATTCTGTCCTTTAGGAAAGTACAATTCAAAAGTCGCTCGCAGATCATTGAGATATTGCACCAATTCAAGAACTGTTTCATTTTGAAATATTTGTGTGTCACTGAGACTAAGATGATTAAAAAACTCCGTTAGCATACAGTGGAGCCCTATCAGAGGCTTTTTGGAGCATCGGGCTCCCCGAGCACACTTTGAGTAACGCTGGTTCAGATCATCAAACTGAGTTTTATATCGTTACTTCGTAAGTAATTGATGTATTGTTTCTGAATTGATTATGTTTTCGAAATCATGGCGAAGTTCGCTTTCAACGGATACTGATATATTTGAGACAGGCATTCTAGTCAATAGTTATTTTACATGATTCATTGTTTATCGAAACTTAGATCACAATTCCCCCATCCATTTTCACCATGAGAATTTTTTGCTCTGGACTCATGGATTAGTCAAGGCATCTAAGCAAAACTGCTAATATAAAATTTCAGCCATTTACCTTAAAACTGGGCTTCTTTGTGGAGGTTTTAAGGTATTTATAATTTAATCGACTTGAAAAAATTCACGGGTAGCATTAAATGTCATACCTTCAACCTCTCATAAAATGGGTATTTCATAATAAACCATTTCCGAGAAAAAAAAGATACGAATTACTTTCGGCGACTTTATATCAAAACTACGGAAGCATCTCACTAGAAGCAAAGGCTCGCATGTTCTGCCAAAGATAATCCGTTTCACGGTAATTAGTAGAACAAGTACTTCCACTTGTTCATACAGTAGATTTTCAATGAGAAATTATAAATTTCAACGCCTTATATATCTTAATGAGTAACAGTTCTTAGGGCTTATGTCCATAGATAGGGATAACAGTATTCCACCGACTTCTATAGATCCTTATATAGGATTAGTCATCAAAACTGTGGAGGTCAATCAAGACAAAGAGTGCTTGGCCATTCTATTGCTTCATTTTCAGTTGGGCAAACAGTTGAGGAAAAACCAGCTTCAATAATATATGCCGATGCGGTCCAGTCAGAAAAAAAACCAGAAGCCAGTGTTGAGAAACCAAATGATGGGCTCCTCACCAGGATAAGAAGAAGCGTTTCCCTTTCAGCAGTATCAGTATCGAATTTAACAAATTATTTCGAGAATCAGAACCAAAGGAAGAGTACTTTTTATTTGACTGGAACTATTGATATCGATGGTGAAGACAACACCATTACGAATGAAAATGATGTTATCGAATCACCTGTACCTTCTAACAGGAAAAACAGAGTGATTCGTCCTAAACTACCCCCTCCTCCAGTGCCAAAAAATACCAGTAAGACATCATACCTATCAACTTCAACTGCATTCATCTATTGATCAACAAATTTGTTCTAGATCAAAATCAGACATCGAATAGGAAATCATTGTACTCGGAAGCAGGCTTGTTCAAAAACAAAAGCAATTTGCAGAAGCATGACAAGCGAGCATCATGGTATGCAGAAATAGGTCTTTACCCCAAAACCATTGCTGTAGACATCGATATTGATGATGTTAACCCTATTGACAATGGTGCAGGAATGGAAGAAAATAATACTAGTCAAAAAATCACGAATTCTTCTAGCGATGCCAAAAACAGCAAACCACGGTTTTCGAGCCTTATGGAAGAACTTAACTTCAAGCTAAACAAAAATATTAGTAGGGAGGAAGTGATCCACAATATTGAAAATGAAAGTACTTATAATTATAGTGTGCGTAGTTGTAACAGTAGCGATTCCAAAAGAGATGATTCTTCGATAACTTACGCAACGAACGACTTGAAATTTCTAGAAGATGAACCTCTGTATCAATTTTATGATGCAGCAGTATTAGGTGTAAGTAAAAACTATCCTACGTATTTACATAAAAAAAAACGATCTTTACATGAATCTCTCGAGGAATCTCTTATCTAGTGCATACACAACCCAGATATGCCTAAATCTTTTTTGAGGAATTTAGGATTTCATTTGAATATGACCAAAATGAATTAAGTTTATGGATATTCTAATTTTTGTTTATTGGGATACACACAAATCTGGCCGTCCTACATTCAGGACATTAGGCACTTAGGGATGACAATTGAAACTGGTTATGTTGTTTGATAATACATGATGAAACACTTTGTGTGAAGTCCAACGTGAGAATTTCTCTCGTAGTTGTTTTTTGATAGAACAAGGCATATCAAGTTTGGTTGATGTGTGGAATCACTAAATGATCAAGTCAGTGATATCTTCTATCATTCTCTTATCTTTCTGTCTTTGAGATTGTCTCAGTTACTAACCCAATTTTTCCATCTTTTTCTCTTTTCCAATATATTTTCCTGCATGTAAATCGAATATATCAACTGAGAATCAAGTCTCCGATGAAGCTTTTCATCTCAGATATTTAGATATTGCCTCTTTCATTTTTTGCTGATCAAACTTGTTAGTTTCTCGAATTATCAGTTCCAAAATGGGTTCGTCAAAAGATAAATTTTTCTGGAGTTGAACTATCAACACCAACCTGACCTCCATTGTGACAGAAATTCAACTCAAATCAACTCAACGTGAAGTTCAGATCCTGGCATATTCTTTATTGAAAATAGTTGCGATGATTGAAAGAAAACTTGTTGTATCCTAAATTGTATTCATCATTTCTTCATCAGATCCTTCTAATATAGCGATTGCTTCATAGAAGGAAAAACCTCTACCATATGAGAAACGGTCATATAATAATAATAATAATAATAATAAATGCTTTTATTGAGAGGTTACATACAAGTACAGTATATAGCTGCCTAATGTCCTATATGTAGGACGGCAACAATAAATCCGAGATATCAAACACAAATATAATGAATGCTCAAAATATTGATGCGGCATATGAAACATATGTTATTTACCTGATCATTGAGACCACAAATTGTTTTTGAACATGGCAACAAGAATGAAAATATAAACTATTTTTGGTACAAATCAAGCAAGTCTGTCAATATTTTTGACATGTCCATAATCCTTTTATGTAGAATGAATGCGCAGTCTTGTTACTTATGAAAATATGGTGATGAAAAAAATAGAGATAGCATATATAGGTGTACTAAATATAGGACATTAGGCATATCTGGGATATCAAAGAGTTTTATTTAATGTACTTCCAGAGTTTTAGCTGACTGATGGCTGATTATTATAATTTTCAGTCAAATTCTTCGGATTATGACAATTCCGATTTCGAACACGATATCTATGAAGACGTTGAAGAAACGAATGAAAACTATATATCTTCGAGTCTTCATAATATTCCTAGCCCGACGAGTCGAAACAATTTCACATTCAACAGGAGTCTATGGTGCGAAATACCAGAAGTCATCAAATCGCCAGTGTTGAGTGAGTCCCCTCTTGTACAGGGTCATTCCGTCTTTCTTTTCTGATTTCAAATATATATAGGTTGTTGATATTTGGTTCAGTCGTCTTTGAATTATTCGAGGTCGAATTTTTTAGAATTACTTATAATTTTATTTCACCAAATCACAATTACCATCAAAAATCAACATCGCATAATATACAGGTTGTCATTAATCAAACTTTGTTTCATTTTTTTCGCGTATTTGTTGCTTCATGGCAACTGTGATTTGGTGAAACCAACTGCTAAACCGAATTTCAACAACCTATATATTTTTAAAATTAGGAAAGAAAGATCTTGAATGTTTTAGAGAGATATATAGGGTGTTCCTTTGAAAATAACGAAGTTGGTACCCATTTTTTATATCAACGATATTCATTTGTTCTTTGTTCATCTCGAACAATCTTCTGGAGGTTTAGAACAAACCATACAATTTTTGTAGCTGAAGTTTTATCAATTTCAATGATGAACCCTGTAGAACTTGTTTAAATGTAACTAATGTGAATAATTTTCACAAAAAAAAAAAAATTAAAAAGTGAAAAATAGATAGGAAGTACGTGCGCTGTACAAAAAAAATATGGGGGTAAGTGTGTACTTGACCCCCAGTATTTTGAATATTTGACAGTTATTTTCTGTTTTGTTTTCCTCACACGATGTAACTCTTTGTGCTGAAGTAATGTACCTATTTTGAGATTAATATCTTATTAATTACGCGAGTAATTAGAAAAAAACAGTTTTTAATTTTCAACTTTGACACCCTGTATATCGAATAAGAAGGGCTAAAATGAAAAATGGTATTTAGAAACTCATATTATTTTTGTTCAAGGAATATATGGTTAATGGATTGACCTCCTTTTAGCGGACACCCTGTATAATTGTTCATTCTGTACTGTATGATGACACAAAATAACTTTCAGTAGATACCTCATTATTTTTTCACAGGTCAACTTAGTTCCCAACAGAAAAAGTTACAAGAAGCTAAATTCGAGATAATCACTTCTGAAGCATCGTATTTGAATTCCTTGAATGTATTGTGCGACCATTTTGAGTCTCGATTCAAAAATTGTGATGTGATTAACGAAAAGGAAATGGAGATATTGTTTGGGAAAGTGAGAGAAGGTAAATAGATTCTCACACATAGATGCGTTATTTAGGAGTAGGAAAGGAAGAATATGGTTTGGTTTTGTTTTATACGATACTGGAAATGATCAACCTTCATCGAATGTCTACTAAATAACTAAATATTCTCCATATCAACCATACTTTTTTCAATTAATAAGAGATAATAGTACAATGATAATTATTAATCTTCGATATACTCTTTGAGTATCTTCTATATTTCTGAGAGTGATATATACGGTGCTCCAGCTGAAGTCATTCCAACATTTGAATTTGGAAAATCTCAAATTGGATGATAATTAGGAACTAAATTCTGGCAAAGAAGTCTGATCATTTCTTATGCAGATATAATTTCTGTGATATTTCGAATACCATCTCACAAGAAAATAAAAATATCGAATTCAACAATGTGAACTTTTCTAAAGAGACATCAATGTTGACGAGAAGTATAGGCTCTGGAGTACGACGAGCTTACACTATCTCTGAATACGCTCTCTTCGTTTGAAATATTTTCGACAATGCAGTGTTGCAGTTCTACTAGAAAGTAGTAGCAACAATGATATTTCAAATGGAACACCCTGTATTTTATCGCATTTTCAGTTTTTTTCTGAAGAGCTGATTTTATCGATGCGTCACACTTGGGGTCTATCGAAAAAGACTACAGAGATATAGGGTGTTCAGAATCTAGATTTTATCAAAACTATTCATTTTCTCAACTTTTGATTCACTATTTACTGATATTTAATCGAAACAGGTTCAAGATTCAGAATTCTGATCACCCTGTATCTGTAAATACTAAATCAAACGTTGAGATAGGGACATGTCAGCCGTTTCGGCAGATATTAAATAGTTTCGACACGAACAAATCGTAAAGTTGAAAAATCTCGATTTTGAACACCCTATACCTCTGTAATCATTTCCGATAGACCCCAAGTGTGATGTCTCGATGAGATCAGCTCTTCAGGAAGAATCTAAAAATGCAATGAAATACAGGGTATTCTATTTGAAATAACAAAGTTGTTGCTACTTTTTGATAGAAGCGGCAACACTGTATTGCTGAAAATATTTTAAATGAAGAGCGCGTGTTTTGAAATATGAGCATGCATATTTTCATGAATTTCTCCCGAATGATTCTTGATATAGAGATAGTGTAAGCTCGTCATGACATACCCTGTATAGTTGACATTGAACACTTTGAAAATCAGCAGAGGTGTGACTTCAGAGGGAGACTATCCGATTCACTATATTTTTTCCTTTTTTTTTTTAGTTCGATTTAGCTCGAAGAAAATTATGTATGATTTGGAAAAATGTTGGCAGCAAAATATTCTGCTTGACGGAATCTGTGATATAATTCAAAAACATGCCGAAGAGAATTTCCGGGTGTACATTCCTTACTGTGAAAATCAAGTCGTCTTGAATGGTGTTCTTTCACAACTAAAGTGAGTGCAAACATCCACCTTTCACCTATGGTATTTTTCTCATCTGGGGACTTTTCAGGGAGAGGCCAGAGTTTTCGGAGTTTTTGACCCAATTAGAGTCCAGCATCTCCTGTCATCTTTTGTCGTTGTATTCGTTTCTGATGTTGCCCATGCAAAGGATAACAAGATGGCCACTACTAGTCGACGCCATTTTGAAGAGACTTTCTGAGTCTGATCCGGAATATCTGACTTGCCAGTACGCTTTGGCAACACTGAATAAAGTAAAGAATATTTTCAATACCTAATCTGAAAATTTATTCCTTTTTCAAAAAATTCTAAGTGAGCTGAATTATTTTTCTTCAAGTACCTGTACGTTCTTGATTCTGTCCTTGAGGCGTGATATTATCATTTATGATTCAAGATATGGTTGATTTATGTGAATACAATTTATGGAATAAAAAAGCATCCAGTCAATATATCAATCAGTGAAACATGGAGAATATTTCACACAATATCTTTGGTAATGGACTAATGGACGATTCAAGAGAATTCGAATAATATTTTTTCATTTCATTGAATTTCTATATGAAATGATAATATGTTATGGAATATTATTCAACAGGGTAGTCATGGTACCTATGTTTTATCCATATTTGGATTAAACAGTTGATATAATGGATTCAACTATAATCTGAAAACCTTGAAAATATTTTTCAACAAAAACAAAATGCAGATGTAGAGACCTCATCAGTACGATGAGAGGAAAGCAAAAACTTGGCAACACTTCTTTTACCCTACTGATGAGGGCCGAAAGCCCAAAACACATGTATGCAGTTAACTCTTCCTGAGGGCTATGTCCAATAATCTTTTATTAATTTGATGTAGAGACCTGTATGTTTCATGTATGAATGAAAAAATTCAGTTCACATTCCTATTCCTTCCGTGAGTTTTGGTGATTTTTTTCCTATAAGAAATAAAGTATGATTAGATTCGATAAATACACCTTGCGTTATTGGAATATCTTTGCCCCATCCCCTAATTAAGGTCCAAAAAACAAGAATCGATTTTGGACGATGAAAAGCAGGAAGAGAGATTAATCGATTCTATTACGGTAATGCACACAGAAAAACAATTGTTTGAAACAAAAAAATCGTAAATTCACCAAAATTTGGGTGTCATATATCCACGACAAAAAAGTTTTACGGCAACACTTTTCAACTTCAAATTCATTTGATATAACTTATTATTGATTCAGATCAACAGCAAGAATTGGTTGAATGAACGAAGCCTATTTTGTTCCCATAGTACAATATCTGCTCTGATGACCACATTCAATTGATTGATATGATCATGTGATTTCACAGTGACAACATTTTCAGTTTTTCAGGAAGTCAATATCTCAAAATAACAATATATATATATTCTGAACATTACGAAATAATTATTCCATTTGATTAAAAATTACAATCGATCAACAAAATTGAATAGCGTCATTAGAAGTTCTAGGACAGCTTAATATAATTATTTGAAAGGATGTTCTAGGTAGGTCAAGATCGGTAGTAGATGATTATTTTGATACAAATTATCATCAGTTCTACCAAGCTATTATTTCTGTTCAACAAAATAATCAGTTTGAAATAACAACATATTCCTTGATAATAATTTGTTGAATCAACAAAATATAATGTTGTCAGAATCGATTCAATTTTGTCGATCAGCCAGGAAGCATATGGTTGATTGAACAATGATAATAGTTGGATCAACTATTGATGTTGTTGAATGAAATGAAACTTTTGTTCAAGTGAGCAAATATTTTAATAAAAATATTTTGTTCTTTTGAATAAGTCGCTTATTTGGAATGAACGTTTATTTTGTAAATTTCGCAAAATTTTGTTTAATTTGACAAAGACAAAATGACCGAAATAATTTTGGTGGTGCAAGAAAACTTTTTTCCGTGCACCTTTTTAGCCTCATGGTAGTTGAATTATTTGTTTCTGATTTTGCGTGAGGTAATTTGAAATATTTTTCCAGATAGTTAGTCAATGTAATGAGGCTGCCAAAAGGAAAGAACAACAAATCGAACTGATCAGAATATCTGAATCTCTAGAATTCCCCAGATCTGTACCACCAGTAGATATAAAAAACTCAGAAAGGTGGCTTGTCAAATCCGGTAGTGTTGTTTGTTTTCGACCTAGAAGTGACGATACCAAAATGACTCTTGGCAAGAGATTCAACAAAGTTCCAATGGATCTGTTCCTCTTCAATGACTTCTTCCTTGTAACCAAAAAGAGAAGGTAAGTAGGGTAGACCTGGGACTTCAACATCTTCATTCATTATCCTAATTCTGCTTATTGAAGGATAAATATAGTCTATACTAATATTATAAAGAGAAAAGATTTGATTGTTTGTTTGTTTGTTTGTATGTATTGAATAATAGGCTCCGGATGGGATCGATTTGGCAGAAAATTTCCAATTTTTGTTCTCGAAAAAATTTCCGGAAATAATTCAAGCTCTCGTGATATTATAGGTGAAAATTGGTGGGGAGGTAGCTAAGAACCGGGAAAATGTTATAGGATACTTTTTATCCCGGTACTATGAGGAAATTCAAGATGGCGATCTAATATATCGGGCGAGTTTTGTAATTATGGTCCGATTCTATTCAAAATTGGTATCTGGAGGTTGTCGGGGTCGAAGATTTTGATCCTTTCGTCAGAGTTATTTGAAAATTCGGGCGGAATTTGGAAATTCAAGATAGCGGAACCAATATGGCAGACGAGTTCTGTAATTATAATCCGATTCCTTTCAAAATTGGTACCTATAGGGGTTTTCGTGATCGCGGATTATGATTCCTTCGTCAGAATTAAAAAATTTAAGATGACGGATCCAGAATGGCTGATTTTGTAATTAGGATCCGATTTTATTCAAATTTGGTATCTGGTGGTTCATGGGGTCGGAGATTATGTTTCTTTCGTCAAAATCAGGAAATCCAAGATGACGGACCCAATATTGTTATCAGGGTGATTTCGGGGTCGGAGATTATGATTCTTCTTCTTGTCATAATTTGGGATGGACGGGATTTGGAGCTTCAAGACGGTGGAAACAATTTATACCGGACGAGTTTTGTAGTTATATTATACTTACCGTTTTCGTGATCGAAAATTATGATTCCTTCGTCAAAATTAGGGAATTCAAGATGGTAGATCCAATATTGCGGACGACTTTTGTAATTAGGTTCCGATTATATTCAAAATTTTCATCTGGGGTTTTTGGAGTCGGATATAATAATTCTTTCGTGAAAATTAGGAAATTCAAGTGAACTAAGAAGAAGTTGAAATAAATATTGGTTTGAAAAACTAAAGAAACACTCTTTTATAGATAGCGAAACTGAAAAGAATTAGAAAATAAAATAATAGTAGTGTCTTGATGAATTTTGAACTGAAAAAATATATAAATGAAATAATGTATATTGCAAAACAACGTTTGCGAGGTCTGGTAGTAGTTTATAAAACTCAGAAAACACGCTTTTATAGAATGCCAAAATGAAAAAAATGGAGAGGAAGATAATGAAAGTGTGTGATAAAAATACAACACAGAAAATACTGATTTCGGTGGTGCTGATATTTTCTATACAGGGTGATTCAAAAGTAAGCGGAATCCTTACAGGGGCGTATTCCTTGTATGAAAATGAGACAAAAACTTCCTGTTAATAAGGGTCCTGAAATGCAAAGACGATTCTTTCTCTATAACTTCAAAATCCTTCACAATTAATTTTTGAAAATTGATGAACGGCATGAAAATTTGATGGTGAATATGTCTCTGAATTCAAAATTCCAGAATGTCATTCAGGGGTGTCATATTATGCGGAAGAGGGTAAGACAAGAATTACCCCCAGGAGTATACAAACGTTATTCTGGGACACCCTGTATATGTTCTAAAGATTTTTCACGCTGAGACCTTGAAAGTGAAAGCGATAATACGTTCAAGGATATGTCTCAATATCCAATAATGTACGCATACAGTATATAATTTCTCCATTAAAAAACTGTTTACTTTTAGTGAAAACCAGTACACAGTTATGCATTATTGCCCAAGAAGCATGCTCGAATTGAGGAGTGTCGACATGTTTCCAACGATTCTGAAGAAAGAAGCCCAAGATAAGCATTTGCTGTACCTTTCCATTTTGGAGAATCAAGATGGCAAAGTCATAGAGCTCGTGAGTATCGAATCCTAAAAAATTCTATTTATTGACAAACTGATTTATTTCGAATGTGAATATTGCGTTCGAATTTGAAAGGAAAAAGAAACATCATGGGGGTCATTTAGGGGAACATCAGATTGATTTCAAATTATTTCATGGTCAAAGTAATGGAGCTTGGGAGCATCGAATCTGAATAATCAAAATTCTGTGAGAAAGTCATTCATTTGAATATAAATAGCGGTCAAATCTTAAAGGGAAAATAAACTGCATAACACCATGAACGTCATTATAGACAATTTCAGATTGTACCTTTATGGAGATATCTATAAAACATCATCTTTAACAACAGCGAAGTCCACAGACGTAATTTCAGTGAATATCAATGGGCGGAGGACAATTCGTTGAGGTATTCTATCTCGTTTCTTTCAAATATATTTATAGTATACTACACACAAAAGGTGTCATTGTATATAAATATCCAAATAGAGGTAATATCTGAGATAACTGATATGGAAGTAAAGCTTTCATCATAGTGACATTTTTTGATAATCTATACCTGATTTGTCCTCACTACGAATATATTGAAATAACACTAATATTTTCATTTGTTGAAACGAATTGAAGAGATTCCGAACAATCTAGGGCGATGAAAATTGGGTTAATAACGAAAATAAAGATATTTCGTATAAATATAAATGAGAGAGGAAATCAGGGAGGAGGAGGGAATCGCCCCTCCTGTCCCTCTGAATGACAAACATGCTCAAGCCTCAGGACATCGGGATTATATGACAGTGACAGTATGTGCAATTACCAAATTCAAGATACGTTTCAATTTTCAACATTTGAATAGAACCTCCAAGCCCCCCAACTTCGCCACTGATCTTGCAGAATAATATCAGTATTTTTTATAGAAAAACAATATATTTTCAAATTCTTGGTGCTTTTAAATTATTTTTCGAAGTTGTACAGTCGTCTTCAGAGATCATGTCGCACATGGACGATGTCAGCTCCCTTGATCACTGCTGCAATAAGAACGCTCATACCGTCCAACAGCGACATGTTCGCTGAAGACGACTGTACCTACTCTAACAAGGAATACTGAGTTAGTGAATTATTATTATATCAGTAATAGCTGTTGAATCATTCCTCTCAATTGAAAGGAATGTTCCATGCTTCATTGACATTTCTTCGAATAATTTTTTTCTACAAACGTCAAAAAATGACAAGGTTCGCGCATTGATAACAAATTGCGAAGTGACACTTTTTTCAGTTTCCTACGTTACCATGATACCTTGCACATAACAATGCGCGAAGTAAAACAGTGCGCGAAGTATCTACTTCGCGCATTGTTATGTAAAATATATGAGATATTTTTAATCCAACTTAATGGTCCTCAATCGAGCAAATATCCACGAAATCATTTATTTCTGAAAGTTCAACCATAACTTTGTTTTATATCTTGGAGCGCACGAAAGGAAATTCCTATTATGTTCGTGGAACATCGTGCGTACCTAGGGAGGATAGGGGGAGGCTTTTTAAGCCAGTTCAACACTATTTTTTATATCGAGCTAAGCATATTCAGTTTTTCTTACTCTTGTTGATTCTTATATTATATTTCGCAGTCTCGTCTCAGATTATAAACACCCTGTAGTCCTAGCGCGCTATACCTTGCCTACGACGTTTAAAGAAATACAAGTTTTTTGTTTATTAGTCACCGGTATTTCTTTATCACTTCCCGAACTTGATTTATCTTCATTCTAGTTCGTCGTACCGCGCCTATAAGACGTTTTTTTCGGTTATTTTAAAGATAAGTGAAAACGTGAAAACAGTGAAAAATATTCGAGTGCTTTAAGAATATGGGGAATAATAAAAGACACAGGAATGATAAACTGGACAAATTCCAGCGGAAACTTAGAAAAATTCAAAAAGAGTTGGAATCAATTCGCCAAAGTAAGTTCAATATATTAATTACGTATTCCTCAAATAGTTACGTCAATTTATTATGTCTTAATCAAAATATATATGTATATATATATTTAAATAGACTTAGAACAAGATGATTCAAGGCGGAAGATCGCAAGACATTAGTTTTTGCAATTCAATAAAAAACGGCTGATACATTTCATGCCGAAATTTAGTTGGTTCTCGTTTCATATGGAAATACACATGTATTTACTAGAAACGCTAACAAACAAGGTACCTAACTACACACATGTGCTATGTTATACCTTTACCAACAAAAACGAAGAAAATAAGGGCTGAAACATTTCATGCCCACAATAATCGTGCACATGCACAACTGAGTTCATTAAACAAATTTTAATGACGTCACCCGTCTTCCATTGTACAGGGTGATCGGAAGATATTACGAATATACTAATACCTAAATACCTAAATGTATTATGTGAATAGATTTTCATGCTTGGTTCCTCACACAGGTTCGAGTTCAAGTTCAAGTGAATCTGAGAGCTATTACGATTCTCAAGTTAGTTATCAGGAAGTACTTTCTCCTGTTCCTGACGAGTTGCAACCAATAATGGAACAACCGGTGGTGGACGCCGTAGAGATATTAGGAGTGGACCCGTTGGCTACTAGGCCAACAGGCCCGGATGTGCATGAGCAAATTGCAAGTAGATGGACCATATTTCTGCAGAAGGGTATAGAGAAGGTAGATCGAAAAGAGCTAACCGAGAAATATCCACCTCCTAACAACGTGCCAGCCCTGAATCCACCCAAGATGAACCCCGAAATTCAAGGATGCTTAACAGAAAACCTAAACAAGCAGGACAGCTTCCTGACAAAAGTACAGGAACAACTGAGTGCCGCGATATGCGCAGTAGCCATTCCGCTCAACACTTTTTTCTCATCAGCTGCAGATGATACTAATCCACATCTTCTGCACTTAGCAAACGCAGCTAAACTTTTGGCAGATGTTCATCATACAATCTCCTCGCATCGACGATATGGCGTATCCGGGACCCTGGATCACTCGGTCAAGAAAACAGTCATGGACAGGCCAATTGATGAGTGGCTTTTTGGGAGCAACCTCGGCGATAATGTCAAAAGTACCAAGGAAATTCAAAAGGCATCGGCTGATTTGAAATTGAAACGAATCAACCGGCCAACTTATCGTCCGAATTCGATACAGAGCAACCAACCCACAACGTCATCAGCAACTCCTTTAAACTTCAAGCGCCAATCGAGCAAATTTCGACGCAAAAAAGAGGAGGGAGGCAGGAAGGACAGGCCAGTCCAGCAACAGCGATGGGGAGGGGAGAAGAGGAAAGAACCACCACGCAGGAGAACGTAGAGGTAACCTATGCCGGTAGATTGAAAAAATATTCCAATGTATGGAAGAACATTACAGATAGTTCTCTAATTTTAGAATGGACTAAAGGATATAATATTCCCTTCGAAGAACAACCATATCAACGAACAGAACCCCCAGATATAACAAGTACATGTCAAATGACAACAGTGGACAATATTGTCCGCGAGTTACTTACCATGGGTGCGATATCGCATTCCAAACACGAAAACGGGGAGTTTCTGTCAAATTATTTCCTCACACAAAAATCAAATGGTTCATTTAGATTTATATTGAATCTGAAAAAATTGAATTCATTTATAAATCCTCCTCATTTCAAATTAGAGGACTATCGTAGTGTCAAGGACCTCTTACATGATGGCAATTATGTTTGTACTATTGATATCAAAGATGCATACTTTTTACTCCCTATTCACCAGGACCATAAAAAGTACCTAAAATTCAAATTTCAAAACACACTATATAACTTCAACTGCTTGCCCTTTGGCTTGTGCACAGCACCATACGTTTTCACAAAACTCCTGAAACCGGTACTGTCCCACTTGCGAAACCAGGGGATTATTTGCGTAGCTTACCTGGACGATATGATTATTATATCACAGACATATAAAGAATGTGCACATGACACTCTCCTAGCCGTGAATCTGCTCAAATCATTAGGCTTCATCATAAATACAGAAAAAAGTAAACTAGAACCGAAACAAGATTGTCGTTTCTTGGGATTCATATTCAATACTATCGATATGACCATGACATTGCCAATAGAGAAGAAACAAAATATCAAACAATTGACTGTAAAGTATCAAAATAATCCTCATGTCTCCATAAGAGAGTTTGCTAAATTTATTGGCGTATTAACCGCGGCTTGCCCGGCAGTCAAATACGGGTGGGTTCATACAAAAAAAATGGAAAGGGCGAAATATTTGGCCTTAATAGAATATAACGGTGATTATGATAAGACATTTCAATTACCAAGTTTCATTAACGAAGACATACTCTGGTGGCAATATCATGTCGGTAATAGTCGAATGACTCTCGAGGAGCCGAAATATGAAATGGAGATATATTCAGACGCATCCAAGTACGGCTGGGGGGCCGTTTGTAATAATAAAAGAGCTCGAGGATTCTGGAATCACTCAGATAGCAAAAGACACATCAATTTCTTAGAACTCAAAGCAGCCTCGAACTCTCTGAAGTGTTTTACTAAAAATAAAAATAATTGTGAAATTATTATCAGAATAGATAACACAACTGCAATTTCCTATATAAATAGAATGGGGGGTATTAAATTTGAGAAATTGAATGATCTCGCTCATGAAATATGGGGCTATTGTGAAGGCAAGAATATATTCCTTCATGCCTCATACATTAATACTAAACAAAACACTCAAGCAGACTACGAATCCAGATGTCGAGACATTGAAACAGAGTACGAACTCTCACAGAAGCACTTCAGAATAATTTGCAAAAAGTTTGGCAAACCACAAATAGATCTATTTGCCTCTAATCTGAATTCTAAATGCGAACAATATGTATCTTGGAAACCAGATCCTGAATCATGCTCTGTCGATGCTTTTCTGATATCCTGGAAACATATTTTTTTTTATGCCTTCCCACCCTTTACCATCATTAATAAAATAATCAGGAAAATAATTAATGATAAAGCAATCGGTATCTTAGTAGTACC